ACAGTTTAGCAGTTTCCCTGTCCAATACACCTTATTTAATCCAATTAGTAAACCACCAAGTTTAGTAGACATGTTAGAACAGGGAAATTGACAAACTGTTCCTGCCATAATTTTGCTAGGGTGACTGAGAGGAACCACTTTGCTAAGCTAATGGCTAATTTGCCTTTAGAACAGACTTCAATGACCAAACTCTTGTCCTAGAGAGCTTGTGTCAAGCACAGTTTAGCAGTTCCCCTGTCTTATTTAACCCAATTAGTAAACCAACAAGCTTCGTAGCCACATTAGAATGGGGAAATTGCTAAACTGTACTTGACACAAGCTGTCATGTCAAGGAAGCCTGCTCTAAAGGCTAATTAGCCATTACCTTACCAGGTTCCTCTCAGGCATTTTAGCAAACCTATGGCAAGCCTTTTGCTGGCCCAAAACACCACATGAACTTTTAAAAACATGGGAAGATTAAAGTAAACAAATAAGGAATTAATCTAATGCAATGAAATCATTTTACTGAGTCTGTTGTTCTTAGAATAAAGGTAACATGTAGTCTGCTACTACAATGCACAATATAATAGAGTGATATCATTCAGTACTGCCAAATGTAGTCTTCAAACATCAGTTATAAAGGGTGTTTGGAGAGATTTAGTATAATTTGAAATACTGGATTTATTTCAAATACTAAGGTCTACCACTTGCAATTGAATTAAATTAAAACAATGCTAATGATGACCACTAGATGGCAGCATATAAACATAGAACAGATCCTCTATACTGACCTACTTTTGGTGCTTCAGTAATACTCCACTCACACCAACAGCCAGATTCAAAGTGAAGTGTGGTTGTACAGTAACTTACAACACAGGGCTGTCCTTATTTCTATGAATGAGTAATGAGCAGTGTATATGCTGAGGGCAGTGCACAGTGAGTGACGTCACACAGCTTTCTGTTGGCTTGTGTTTTTTTCTTGAGTTCATGTGAGGTGCCTGTTTCTCAGTGCACTTACATACTCTGAGGTCATTTTTTTACCACTGAAGACGGGTCAGTTTAGGGCACTCAGAGGACGCTAGAGCCTACAACCTGATAAACGGCCACTCTCCCTCACTATTGTTAAAAGAAACCTTCAGTGTTTTAATCTTTATCTGCCGCATCTGCAGCTTACTGTCAGTTACCATGGGTAATAATTTTGACACACTTCCCTGCACTGAGTAAAACAAAAAAGAGCTTGTTGACTCAAAACATACTTATAATAGAAACCAGTGGGAAGTTGCTGAAGGTAAGTACAGGGAAATTGTGTGTGGTAAATGACTGTATGCTAGAGAGAGATTGGAAAATGCTAGCATACCTTTCAAGATGCAGCACGTAATGTATAAAAAGATATTATCCATTTGCCAGTTTATTATTAGAAGAGCCAGTTCCCCCAGTAAAAAGATTAGAATCAGAACCAAAAGCATATGTTAAAATGGGAATTCTAGTAATTTACCTAAATTTCTGTATAATTAAATTAAGATACAAAACAAACAAAGTCTTTCAGAGTGGTTTGGTGTAAAATGCTCTGTTCTAGACAAACTTCCAGAGTCAGAATACTTTACAGTGGTGGTGATAGGAACTAGACATCCAAAGCATTTAATGCCTATAAAAGCTACCTCACAATGTTATAACACAAAATGGTTACAAGTAGATGACTGACACATTGTTTCTATGATAGTTTTGTGATAAGATTTTAGTTTAAAATGTAAATATTTAATCCATTCATGGTGGAGGCGCACATGTAGGATGTTGTACACTCTCAGAAATAAAGGTACGAAACTGTCACTGGGGTGGTTCCCTCAAGGGTACATCTCAGTATCTTTAGTCAGGGAACATAACTGTAACATAATCCACTGAAATTTTTCTAAGTTGTATTGACTCCACACACCCCGTTTCATCTCCAGGCTTTTTATTTTATTGTTATGTTTTGAAACTTTAGCTTATGAACAGGCACGAATACATATTTTCCACTGGGAAAAACTTTTTCAAGGTACACAATTGGACCTTAAAACCACTATTGTACCTTTGAGGGTAAATTTACATTGTTTGCACCTTGATTAATGATAAATGTACCTGCACAGAACCTTTATTTCTGACAGTATAATGCAAAATGGTAGTGAAATGAAACATAGTAGTTTGGATTTACATCTATTTTACCATTATCAACATTACAAACTCAGAAGACACATGTAGATCACCGATCTTTTTGGATTGTAAATAATCTGTCTATATGTGCACTGTAAACATTGTGATCTCTGTTTCCCATTAACACCACTGTAAAAATCTGAGCTGGTAAGTTTCTCTACAATGCATTTTCATATCAAAACACTGAATGGCCTTGTTTACATGTCAACAATTGAACTGTGCTGAAAAATCAGTGGAACTCCCCTTTAACTGATGGTATTTGCTTTGGTAGATAATTACACAATCAGAGCAGCATAATTTAAACTCAAAAACACTGTACATACATTTATGTGTGCAAAATGGAACATGTAAAAATGTGTAGTCTAATATTACAATTGTTCACATGGCATGAAACCCATAGACCTATGGACCTTTAAAAGAAGAGTATCACTAAACACATTTCTCAGCACTGTGACAGTAGCAGCGGGACCAGCATAGCGCAGAGAGCCCCCCCACCCCCCCACCCCCGCCAATAAATATTTCATCTGCCTTCCTATGAATTATGCATACTCTATTACATCCCCACATAATATGATGCTTGCGTCAATTTGGAGGCCCATTGCTCCTCTGGTTGACGACTATCAAATCCACTGTGCGGGTGACATGTGATCCTGTGGCGGGTCCCCCCAGCCTCCCACTGCGGGGCTTATGGGAATTACTGCCTTACTGGAAAAGAGGTTAAGGCAGTGGGGCGCTGTGTCCGGAAGCCCAGTATCTAGGGAGCTGTTGGGGACTAGATAATTAAGTATTGGTCAAACAAAATAAGTCATATTACCATTGAATTATTTAGTATTAGCATGATGATGACGGCAGCATTTTTCCATATTGGAGATTTGATTCAGGATATGGAGAGGAAATTGATTTTTGTTCTACAAGAGAATTCAGCTATTCCATTGCTGTGGAACAGTGTTATATTGCAAAGATGAGTGTAGAGGGGTTCAGTAGAGCTAATGTTTGGGTGTAGCGAATGTGATCACCTGAGACATGACAGACCCTAAAATGGGCACATGTGAAGACCTGTTTTTTCATGTGATTTTTTCATGTTTTTGTATTGTCACTGTCCAAAAAAAAGTATCTCTGTTTTTTGTTTTACTTTTCTACATTATTTGAATAGCAGCTGTCCTTTTTATTGTACAAATTTCTTGATGATTGGATCAATAGAAATGCCCCAAAACTGCTTGCAATATAGTCTCTTTACATGAACTTGCATTTAAAGTAAGGAATGTTTTTGCCCTCTCGTGTAAGCTCACTACTTTGGAGATCCTTGTTTCTCTTTGGACAGGTACAACATGTAAATCACACATTTGTTTACATTATCATAACTTTAATTTCATCATATGTTTATATGTGTTACGTATGATCGCACATAATCTCACATGCGATCACACTTTTTCACATTATCACACTTTTTCACATGATCATGTTTTCCATGCTATCACATGGTTTTTCCCACGTTTAAATTTTTCACAAAATGAAAGTGTCTAAAAACACATAATCATTCTTATGTTCTTTTATAAGGGTGGTTTCCAGATAACAGCATTTGAATTCTCAATGCCTTTTTTGCACCTCAATTTTTGGTGCTGCAATTCTTCAGAATGGGTCATAAAAAACACACAAACTCGTGCACAACACCCAACACACACGCACCTGCACAACACCCAACACACACATGCACAGATACCAGGTCATGCCTGAGCTGTGTCATTGTCTCACACACCTTCGGGGACACACATACTCACAACCACAGGCACGCAAGGATACCAACCTTTGGACCAATCACGTTAGCCGGAATTAGCCCCTCGACCAATCAGCTTAACCCCTGAACCCCGAAGCCTGCATTTTACTGTGATCTTTATACCCCATCATTTGAATACATTTGCATACATTGGAACACACAGTACATGCAGCCCCTCCCCCATCCTCAAAATACAAGCATCACTCCTTCAGATCACAGGAGAGTAATAGCAGAGCGTGCAATAATGCAGAACACGTGGCCTAACAATGCATATTAGCTTTGCTGAAGGTGCAATAGCTTGGTGGGAACTGCATTAGCATTATCATCTTTCATCATTCTGCTGTGAACCGGGCAAACAAGCTTTTCAGTTTCAGTGATTGTGTTAAGAATGTTATGCAAGTGGGCCTGTTGTACCCAAATCATATTCAAAAGCTTTCAATTGGGCAGTAATGCATGCTCATCAAAAGGCCATGCAGTGGCATTAAAGCCTCATCTGGCTGCTTTAAGTATTGACCCTACTTAAGTTGCCATTGTTAATAATTTTTCGCAGCTGACTGGAGGAAGAAGAGAGAGGATGTGTGATTAGCCTGAACATATTGCAGCACCCAGCAGTCTATTGTCACATGTTTTATTATTGGTGATATTTTGTTAGAATATGCATAAAACAGAGAGGCAGAGAGAGAGAGAAGAGGGGAGTAAACTAACACAAACCAATTGATTAAATATATCTAAGAAAACGTCTTGATTTAGTGGTAATAGATCCTTTTGCATGTTCTTTGCATGCCCCCCAGTGGGGGCTTTTATTTGCATGCTCGCCTGGTTCAAGCAAGGCGCCATAAAACACCACTGAAGGGTTAAATCTCTGTGTTGCTATGGCGACTTCCACAGACTAGCTGAGGCTGTGCACTGACAGCCGCATAGAGCGAGAGGGAAGGGGGAGGAGTTTCGAGGCGATGGGTGGTTCCGTGGTGCTGCACCGCGCCCTCTGATTGGCTGGAGCCAGGTTACATGTGACCTTTGGAATGCTAATGCCTGGATTCCCCCCAACCCCCCTCCTGCTGCTGTCTCTGGTCTGTAGCGAGCGGTCTGTGGAGAGCGCAGCCCAGAAATGGTGTAGGATAGCAGGAAAGCAGGAAGAAATCAAACCCTAGGAGGGAAAGACAAGGCCTAGGCTAAAGGTAGGAGAGCTTTGGCTTAAATATCAAGAGGCTCTGTTGTTTTCCTTTGTTTAAACTTGGCTCTACGGAAGTCATGGACTATATGTGTGTGTATGTGTGTGTGTGCGTGCGTGCGTGTGTGTGTGTGTGTGTGTGTGTTTGTTTTCTCGCTGAGAGCCAGCATGCTTCCAGGCTCTTTTGAGAGGAGCGCGCTCACCAAATCTGACAGTTTGACGGACAGCATTGAGGCTGCAATACATCTGACCCACTTCTGCCAAACCTCTGTTCTGCACTAGATCTGCTTCTGTTAGTTCTTAAAGCCCAAATGAGCCCATGGTGAATTTTCAGGCTTCTTCATGATGGAGAGGGGCTCAGAATGTTTTTGGAGAAAGCCAAAGCTGATGAGATGCAAACAGCATTTTGAAGTTATAAGATTCTGAATCTGCTCCTTTACAGCTCGGAAGCCATCAAGCCCTGTATATGTGTGTATGAAGCCGCCACAAGGCTAGCGTCAGGGGTCAGGGCTGGGTCACGGCCCCCTTTGGAGCTGCAATGCACAGTAGGTCAGGCTGAAATGAATGTGTCCACCAAATCACTGTACACTGCTCAGATTGAACGCTGGTATCTGTGTAGCCGTGCGTGTGTGTTTAATGTGCGGTTTTCTCTGGCAATGCCGAGGTGGATTTTCAGCCAAATTGCACCTCGGCTTGAAAAGAATTAGAAACATGCTTTAACCAGGCCAGGCCACAAAATAACTCTGCATTTTATTAAAGCAGGAATTTGTAAACTATTTCTCATTACAGCCTTACGCTCGGACCAAAGGATTCCACTGAAGTCTTCGTGAAGTACCTAGAAGATGGTACTTGGTACCTGGAAGATGCTGTTGAATCTTTGCATTTCAGAATCATTGATTAGATCAAGTTCATTTATTCTCTCAACATATGTCAGTTAACTTACCACAGACACTGTCACTGGCAAACCCTGACTAAAGCTAGGCCTTCATTTTGGGCCATAAATGTCAAAACCCAAAAATGAGGGAAAAAACACCTCTACAATATTGCTAATTGCTGTTTCCATGCCTATGAAATTTCATTAGTAAGTTAGATCTATTCATAGGGTGAGTCACATGACCATGTTTTGGTGGTTTTAGCTTATACAGGGACATTTATTCCATGTTTTATTTGAAGCTTTTAACAGTCATATTCACATATATTTTGCCTTGTATGTTGCAGTTTTACAGTGATTCTTTCAGTAATGAGGCCTGGCGTACGGCCGCTGTTTTCCATTTTTAAGAATTTACTGAAACCTGTTTAGACTATGGCTGACGGTAATGTATCTAGGACTTCGCCAAGAGCTAGAGTAGAGCTGGGCAATAATGTAATATCACGATACTTAAAGAAGTTTTTAAGATACATGATACAACATTTACTTTTAACTGTGAAACACTATGAATCCAACTGTATTAAGCATTTCACATACTGTGCTGCACTAAATCAAATTAAACAGGGCTAAGTATGCTCTCTTTATAATCAACATGCAGTTGGACAGCTTAGAAAAGCTTATTGTGACATATTGTGATTTTATTGCAATAACGATAACAGATCTAGCCTAGAGTGATTTTTTTCCTCACTAAATTGGACCCACCAGTTGGAGGTCAAAACGTGATTGCTTGATTCCACAGTTCAGATTATGTTAGTGGTAAATCTGATGTGTTAGACCTTCAGTTCAGCTCCCGAAGTTCTAACCAATGGGAAAGCTAGCTTGGCTGCATCTACATAGATACCACAGAAAAAAATGATTTGATAATGTTCTCTTGGGCATTTCAAGAACTTAACCCTTTTGTTTCCCACCAAAATGTACAGTGAAATAAGAATATTATTACATTACATTCAGACAGAAAATATGAAAGAAATTAGAACACTATTAAATAACAATAAACTAAAAATTCAGATATTTATTGCTGAATTTCATAGAAATTACTCGGCCTTCTCTGAGGGTTCCCCACTAGACCTTATAGCACACTATCATCACATAAAATACATGCTAAACTGTAGTGTTCTTTACTGATTAATGCTGTATATAGATAGAAATCCACCCTTTCCCACCAGTTCTCCAGTGAAAGTGCTTTTATCTAATAATCTGGCTGAGCTCATGGTGTCGTAGCCCAGATGCTCAGGGACAGAGACTCAATGTTGATTGTAGGGGGACTAAGGCATTGTACCCTAACTACAGATTACATGAAGGAATTAGGGGCTCGAGTGTTGTCCTTCTAACCTGAGGTCAAAGAATGAATCAATCTGAGACAGAAAGAGGGGTAGATCAAAATCACGCACTTGTACAAATGACATCTCTATGAATGCATGGCAACAGGGCATCTGGAGAAAGGCCTAAATGTCACACACGTTCCCAGCAGTCCTCTGCTGTGTCCGTGTGTGTACCCAGTGTCCTCAGCCTGCTGTTAGGCTGACAGGATCCTCCTGGGCTGATGTTTACATTCTCCAGCTGGGCCACAGCACATTGCTCTCTATGCTTCCCAGAGTTCTGACATTCAGAATGGAGGCTTCGCACTCAGAGAACAGCGGCTGACATTTTCAGACCTATCGCAGACAGACCAGACGCTTTTGTCAGTCAGCACTTGTGAAGATCATTCTGCTGTCATGGGAAACCAGCAGTGCTGAAGGCAAAGCAACTGCCAGAACAGCTCCTCTGGCCATGAGATCCTTTAAAAAGGGCCCTTAGCACTGAAGATCATGTACCAAGACAGAAAAAATGTCAAAATACATTTTCTGAAACTCTGTTATTTATCTAAGGTCACATAAACTTAGCAGCTTATGTCATAAAGCATATAGAGAAACAGAAATCATAACTGGGCATTGAAGGCTCTGTCATTGGTACTTGAGATTGAATAAATAAAGTAACGAATTAGAGTCGAAAGCAGAAGTTTGAATAATGCTGATCACATATTTAAGTGAAAATAAGTTGACACATTCTCCACAAGCAGCAAACTTAAATATGGCATTTGCAACATGTTGGAAAATATTAAAACATATAACGTGGCATAACTTTTTATTTTTGTTTTTTTTCCTCCAATATGTCAAATTTAGCAAATGAACAGTAATTGTGCATTAAAATGACCAGAAGTGTGTTCTCGGTAAATGATTTGTGTTAACTTGTTTTCACTTAGAAAATCAGCAATACGTAGTTTAAGTAGGGGTGCTCAGACTTTTGCATACAACTGTATGTATAAACCATGAATTAACCATGTTTGTTATGACAGTGATCATATCACCAATATCATAAAAGTGTTGTTAACTTGAATGCAAGTCATGTCATTTTGGACCATTTCAATTGGTGCATTCATCATGACATCTTTAGACAATGATGTAAAGGGCTGCCATTTTCCAATGATGTAATATATATAATATAAAAGGTTATAGTGTAAATATACATAAATAGTACTACTCTCATACACACTCATTCTAAAGAGAATTACTCACAGTGCTCTTTGCTGTCATTATAAGTCAGTTTGGCCTGCAAAACATCATTACCCCCATCTCCGTAATCCTTACATTAGGCTTGGGGTCCAGAGGATCTCATTACTGGCTTTTATAATCTAATCCCCATTAATAAAAATGAGGAGGCCCCAGGTAACCCAACTCATGGTATACTTTATTCATGGCCTTCACATCCAGACTTCATCCAGCTCCCCTGCATTGATCTCCGGCTCCCCCGAGACTCACATGGTCGCTGGGGAGCGCATGTCTGCGGCTGTATAAACTCCACTCCTACTGAGTGAGGCAGCAGAGGGATACCAATTAACTAGGCCTCGGGGGCTGGGGCAAAGTGGGGTATGGGGACACTTGCCATACACGTGCACTGCTGCCTAATTATGCTATTGCTCATTTAAAAGTCAAGAAAGAGCTGCCAGAATAGCACAGTGACTCAGCAAGTGTAGTGCACCTGAGAGTATATATTGGTGGGCATCATTTTTGTCTGGTAAGATTTAAAGACATAAAGGCATATGCAAAGGTTTGAACACATCCAGAGTTATATGTTTTCGTTGAATTCCTAAGTGAAAATAAGTTAACAATATATCATACATGATCTGCAAATTTTGTGCACAGTTTCTATTCATTTGCTGAATTTAACATATTGGAAAAAATTAAACATACAATATAAATGTATTTTTTTCCTCAGTATGTTAAATTCAGCAAATAAACAGTTATTGGGCATTAAAATGTGCAGAAGTGTGTTGTCTGTAGACAATGTGTTAACTTATTTTTACTTGTTGGTATAGTGTAATGGGTAACACCTCTGCCTTCTGCACTGTAGACTGGGGTTCAGCCTCCCACCTGGGCAAGCGCCCTACAGCATACCGTTAAGAGTCCTTGGGCAAGACTCCTAACACTACATTCGCCTACCTGTGTAAATTGATCAGATTGTAAGTCACTCTGGATAAGAGCGTTTGCCAAATGCCATGACTGAAACTGTAAACTTACAAAGTCAACAAACATATAATTTGACCAGGGTGCTCAGACTTTTGCATACGACTGTGTTATAGCATATCAAAGACATAAAGATCTGGAATTTATTTTTGCTAATTTCAGACAAATTTCACAGTTTGACAGACACCACTGAGGCTGTGTTGAGCTGACCCACTTCTGGCAGGCCTCTATTGTGAACTAAATCTGGTTCCCAAAGCCCAAATCAATTCACTTGGCTGAGTGGTCATGCTTCTTAGCGTATGATGAGGAGCTCAGTATGTGTTGATGCTTCTTAATCTCTTACTGCATTTTCTAGAGAACCCAAAGTTAATGGGACAGTAACACTGTTGTGAAGTTATAAGACTGATGATTTGAATGCAGCTCCTTTGAAGCTGAGTCATTTAAGCTCTATGAGAGTTTATATTTGTGTGGGTTATTTTAGTCTGACAGGCTGCAGTTACACTTGAATCAAAGATCTATTGCCCTGTGATTTTTTTGCTTGTTTTAGGCTGATAAAGCTCTCAGTGTTATGATGTG